CGCTTCTCTGATTTGAGCCAAAGCTCGGTGCGGGGTGGGGGGGTCACTCAGTGTTCCAGGGGTACAAAGTCTTGATTGTGCGGGATGAATCCAGTGTGGACTCCGCCTGGACGACACCGTGCCAGCGGCTGACAAAACTGTATTGTGCACTGAAATTTTGCTAAAAGGGTAAAATTTCATGCTGCACTTTTTTACCACCGTAAAAAAATAAAATAAATACAAAAATTATCCGAGCTTGTAGCTTCACAGGTTTGTAAAATGCTCCCTGGCATGTACTCTGGAAGGCAACTTGCCCGTTAAAATAAACAAAACAGACTCTCAAAGGGGTCCATCTACCGGGTTGAAGGAGATGATGCTTTTCTGCCTTAAAGGAAGACATCGAATTCTCTTAATCCGTCCCCTCGCTGTGGGTCCGCCCCAGCTTGGCAGTGCTGCCCAGCATCCAGAAGCGTCTCCGTATTTCTGTTGCTGGAACTTTACGTGGCCGTGGAAACGAGCAGAGCCAGACAGAGCTCAAATCCCAGCCGTGTGATTTATGAGCTGTGAGGCCTTGGCCTCCACCTCGCCGCCTTTAAAGTGGGCAGATATCCTATTTCACAGTATTTTTAAGGATTAAGTGTTAACAGTGTACCCAGAATGGCTGGGTCAAAAAGTAGTTTTATCTTTATTTATTTTTATTTTTATTTTTTATTTTTTTTGAGGAACCGCCGTACGGTTTTAAATAGCGACTGGACCCATTTGCGGTCCCATGGCCACGTCTTTGCCAATGCTTGGCGATTTCTTGTTTTTCTGGTAAGAGCCGTGCGTTCGGACAGGGGTCAGGCGGCGTCTCACAGTGCTTTTGATTCGGAGGTTTAAGGAATGCGACACCCCCGCATTCACTGCGCCGTTACGCCCGACAGTCAAGACATGGAAATGACCTAAGCGTGCATTCTCGGACGAATGAATAGAGGAGCAGTGTGTATGTGCATCGGAGTACTACGCAGCCCGAAAAAGGGAAACCCTGACATCTGCAATGATCTGGATGAAGCTGGAGGGCGCTATGCTCAGCGAAATAAGTCTGAGATAGACAAACACTGGGCGATCTCACATATACGTGGAATCTAAAAAAACAAAAAACAGAAAAAAACCCCAACCAAACTCGTAAAAATGAATACAATGCTGGAAGAGAGATGTTGTTTACGTGCACAAAGCTGCAATGAATAGATAAATGAATTCCGACATCTAATGCACGATACGGCGAAGATAAACAACAATACTGTATTATAATCATCAAAGACCGGAACTTCGTTATTCCCGTCATAAAAATGACAGTCATAGGACCCGACAGAGTAGCTGGTGACCCTGTGTGACATCTCACTGTATGAAATCAGCATGTTGGACGCCTTAAACGTACTCGGTGTCACGTTGAATACGCACGAGCCCTGCCTTACCCGTGGTTTCTCGTCCCACGGTTTCAGCTACCCGAGGTCAGCCATGGTCTTCAAATATTAAATGGAAAACTCTAGAAATAAACAATTCATAAGTTTTGAATTGTGCGCCCCCGTGAGCGGTATGATAGAACCTGGGACCCCATCCTGTCCAGGACGTGACTCATCCCTCCGTCCAGCGTCTCCACGCTGCGGACGCTCCTCGCCTGCTGGTTACTGGACACCCTGGTTCTCAGACCGACTGTCACGGGATTGCCGCGTTGTGTCCACGTCACCCTTATTGTTCTGAATGGCCCCCAAATGCAAGAGCAGAGATGCTGGCAATTTGCGCATGCCACAGAGAAGCTGTAAAGTGCTTCCTTTCCGTGAAAAAAGTATATATGTGTACGAAAAAATGTGATGTGTATTATCTATAGAGAGAATTTGGTATCACTCATGGTTTGAGGCGACCAGTGGCCGTCACGGAGCCTACGTCCTGCGGATAACGGGGAACTAGCACGGGACAATAAAATAACGTCGACCTGTAAAAGCACGTAGCTCATTGTCCTGCAGGTAGGGGGCGCTCTGAAGATGGGATGCCCTTCTTTCTCTGCGGGCAACACTTGAGACACGCCGGTTGACACGGACCACCCTTAACTTTCTTGGGACAAAGTTATCAGGTCCCTTTTAATGAGAATGCAGAAGGAGCTTGGGTGCCAGGCAAGGAAGAGACTTCCCTGAACAGGGTGTTGTTAAAAACGCATAAAGGGGAAAACAATTCGATGGCAGTCAAAAGGGTGAACAAGGATTTAGTCACCTAGCATCACGCACCCCCCGGATGTCGGTTCTTCAAAACTCCTTGCATTGTTTTTCCCCAAAGCATCTGCTCATGTGCGTGTGTGACACACATACACACAGCCTCCCTTTCTCTCAAACTGGAATGTCACCCCTGAGCACCCGCTCTACAGAAATGCCCCAGAGTCCCGTGCCACTGACAACCTTTACCGTCCAGCCTTTACAAAAAGAGATGCAATAATCTCATACTGTATACTTGCAAGTTGCTAAGATGTAGAACAGAAGTCCCCATCACAAGAAAAAAATGTATGTAACTCATGTGGTGACGAGTGTGAATCAGACTTCATCGTGGCTGATCACTGGGCAACACATGCACGTGTCGACTCATGTGGCACACCTGAAAGTAACATAACGTTACCTGTCGACTACATCTCAAATGAAAAAAAAAAATAAGTAATAAATATATAAAAAATTTTGAAAAATCATGCCGAGTCCTAGACTGGATGAAAGCCGACAAGCTACGGTTTATCCCGTGACGGAAAACGCACACAGGAATCGGACTTCTTAAAAGATAACAAAGTTTTATTAAACAAACCTGGAATCAATAGTATTATTCCATAAATTAGACAGCAGTAAAATTTTCCTAAGGTATATATACAAATCACAGTGATTTTCATTGTGCAAGGAATTCACAGGATGAGAAACAGTTTTTTTTGTTGTTGTCGTTGGGTTCCCCCCCCCACACACACACACACGAGAAGCTGCGACGGCCCCACGTGTGTGCCAGCGGTGGCTTGCTGGGGCATGCCACACCTGCAAAGGCACTCTGTCACGTGTCCGTGGCATCCTACGAAGCCCTAAGAAGCGCCTGAGTGACCCAGCCAGGCTGCCCGCAGCACAGCACGAGGAAGAACAAAGCTATGACCCGTCTGCAGAGTTGAAAAACAGCCTCGGAGGACAAGGAAGGACTGACGGCCTGTGGGTCGGATGGCTTCACATCTCCTCGGCTAAAACACACACGCAAGGTCTCTGACTTAAATAACAGATGTGTCCGCGAGATGGAAGACCAAATGGAAGCAAAACAGAGCATCTTAAAACGCAATAATTCACGGGTCGCCGTGAGCATTTCCTTTTTATGGAGGTCCCACGGGGTCTGCAAAGCGAAGCCGGCATGAAAATGTTCCATTTGGTGAAAACACCCCCACCATCCACTCCGCCGCCACCAAGACACTCACGCACACCCACGCACACACCCAACAAACTATCCGAGAACATTATTCGCACAGCGCTTCGTGTGTGTTTCTTTTTGGTTTTGGTTAAGTGGACATCGTCCACTCGAGTCGAACTGGTCAGAAGCAGGAAAGCAGGTTACTGTACACAGGACCTGCTTTACTGTACACAACACGTGGAAGAGACACTCTATGTAGATGCGCCACCAGTAAACCAACCAACAAACCACTCAGGCATTGCATTTCAAATCTCCACGGTTAGAGGAATCAGGTGCTTGTGTGAGTGTTGATTTTGTGATA